CTCTATCTAGGTGCTTGTTTTGCACAATGCCAGCGGTACACCTGGAACTGGTGAACCTGGAACCGGTAAACCTGGAAGCGGAAAGTTCCAAAAGGCATTGGAGGTATGTTGTCATGGTGAAAAAAACATGTTTTCGTCGGATCATTTTTATTTATTTCGCACTTTTTGGCCCTTTCATTAAGTTTTGTCACCTTAATTCCACTATTTCAAATCACTTTCGTACAAAATATATTTGACACTTGTCGAAGAAATAAATTTAAAGTTCAATCGAATTTCTGATGAACAAGGGAAACGTTCAATATTTAGTAGAAAAAGGTTGAAAATGAATTGAAATACTATTTCCAAGGCACGTGTTTGCACACACTTAAAAATTTATATTTAAAAAATCTTTTAAATTTATACGGAATGTGAGACTTGGCAAAAGTAGTAGCTTTACTATATGTAACAAATTGTCGAAAACAATCCGATGAAAAATTCTTTTTGAATATCATTTAGGCATTAAATTGCATCAGCATCGATATTCTACATGACTCTAGAATTTATTATGAATTTTCGTTAATCCACAAAATAGAAAAATGAGCCACCAAAAAAGTCGGTCTCTTTCGAATTAAAAAATGTACCAGCAGCACAAGGAAATAAATTAGGTTCATCACAACCACCCATGTGAGTATAACAAAATATGAGAGAGCTGCGAGAAAAACATGAGTAAATTATTTTATTTCGACTTTAAATAGCTCTTCTGATGCAGTTAGTAAAAAACCTCAGGTAAATCAGTAAATCATTTCACTTCGCAATTGTAGTAGCTTAATGCAACAAATTGTCGAGAAATATTCGATGATAAATTCTTTTTAAATGTCGTTCAGGAAATGATTGGCAAGGGTCACGGCAATAAAGTGGAGTAAGTTATTTAAATCGAATATATTTCCCTGATTTTCCCAGAATAATTATTTGACTAATTTTCAATGTTCCTGTAGTCATACCGTTTCTCAATCAACTGTTAAAGTAGTTGAACTAATTTTTACTATTCTTCTTACAGTAATAAACCTCCTCAGATGGGAACCTTGGACCTGTAAGTATAAAAAAAATTTGAGAGATCTGCGAAGAGAATACAAGTAAATTATTTCATTTTGACACAGAGTTGAACTGGCCGTTCCCTGGGCTTGAATACTGATTAGAGGGTAAGCTTTCGATTTCATATCGAAATTCACCGAACTTAAGTTCCATGTAAAGTTTCAAGCGAACCCAAGTGAGCTATGGCTTTTCATTGCTTTAAATGTTGCTTTTCTTTTCCATTAGAAAACAATTCGTTTTCATGAATTTTTAAAGTTAAAGTTTTCTTTCTAAAAATCTTAAATTTTTTTCCACGACAGAAAAAACCCAGCTGCACAAGCAAACGATGACAATTGGATCAATGAATTGAATGCTATGATTGTTCTATCAGATTACCTTTGTCCACGATACATTTTTCTCTAAATAAACCATTGTAGACAGTTGATTTCATTTCTGTTACACACCTAAAACCGTTGAAACGTTTCATTCATTCGATTCTCTCATTCTTTTTTTATGTGTCATCGAATGCATCAACAACTGATAAAATTGGAATTTTATCCCGAAAAATATTTCATATTGATGCACTTAAAATAAACGAACAGATGATGAACAACCATTCGATGAATCATCGCCGATAGCTAAACATATATTTCTAAACATTAAATTTAAATATGGACAACTTGGTCCATTGGAATTGCAAATTTGGTTCAACCAAATGTTCAAAGTCTTTTGAATACCATATTCAACATCCTCTTAATGATTGTTACGGTCTCGAAAATGAAAAAAAAGGTAACAACGATGAAATATGAAACACTTTAAAATTGATTTTTTTTTATCTAATTAATATTCATAAATAGTCTTTTGCTGGGTAGAAATATGTTTTGAATTATAATGAGCGGAATAAATTCGATTTAATGAAATATGTGTATTGATTGGTTTCGTTTTTGTTTCTATTTTTTTAACTAACTATTGATGTTATGAAGACTGTGAGATTAGAAGTGTGATGTGATTGCAATTTGAAATGAATGCTTCGAATTGCACTAACTACTTGCTTTTTTTGTTGGTTGTATAAATGGTTTACTCTATATCATCAAATCGGTATAAGATATCTGCCGATTGCAAGTGGCCACCGTTCAGTTTTTTTCTTTCGTAAATTCCAGTATTTCAAAGTATCAAAGTCAACGGTCTTAAACTATATGTATAAGAGCTCCCTACTCTAGCCAACCTATACTTTTGGTCGGCGCAAGATAGCGGTGGCGCCTAAATAAAATGTATTAGCAATTTGCGGCATTTTTAAGAACTATCAATACTTTTTGTTGTTGTCATGAATTTCGCAACAACAAGACGTATTGATAGTTCCTAAACTTGCCGCAGACTCTATTTAGGCGCCACCGCTACTCACTGTTACGTCAAATACATTGGTTCTTATGGCAGAGAAGCACAGCTTGACTCTGAGCCTGTTACAGATTCATTTTTACACGCGTTTGTAGTCAAATGAAGTTGTATGGGTCTAATTTCTGTACTGATTCCTGGAGATTACATTCTAACAATTAGTGTTTTTACTTCTTAAATTGTGTACAGAGGATAACAAGTATGTAAATATATATGTATGTTCGAGTGTGTGTGGGTGTATGTTTGACCTACTTCTTGCGCCTTGGTCGTCGTTGTTTTTCTCGTCTGCTCGCCTCCAATTTCCTACTTCTTTTGTACGCTTCGCGATTTCGGTGATATTCCGCATCAAGTATATTGCGATTCAAATCGATCCTAGACCAACGTTCATCTACAATTTAGTTGTGTACACAGAAGCATGCATCGTTTTCGTGGCTTCCATTTTTAAGCTGGACCTGGATGTGACGGAATGCGTTTCGACCTAATTCTGCTAAGGTGATGCCTTCTGGTAAATCAAGTTCCGAAGAACAGTGTGTTTTGTTGATGTTGTATGCTTCCAATTCAGCAAATCGACATTTTACATAAAGCTTTTTGGATGCACCGTTGAATAAAACGTCGTACTGCGCATGGCGCAAACCATCCGTATGATCTATCAGCAAACGGTATCTCTTCTGGAGAATCTTTTTACCTGAAGAAAAAAAAACCGAGAATATAAATATTTAATAAATAAAAACAATATTGGGATTTTTCTCAAAATTGATTAGTACCATTGGCGGGCGGATTCCTTGGTATTAAATACCGTGGCAAAACGTACGCGACGAATGACTCTCTTTCTGATCTTTCAACCAATTTTATACGGCTCAACAGAGCTGCCGTTTTGCGCGATGATTCGTATAAAGCCGTATTCATTCGGTCAACGTCAGTGGCCACTCGTATTTCGTTGGTAATCATGGTTAAGTATGTCGTTTTATTCGCATTGAAGAATCCTAAATCATCTGCGCCTTTGTTTGGGCACCAATTTGGGCCCAAATTGCTCTTCTTCGGTGAATACGGTCAGATTATTGAACAAATTCGCCAGATAATCCATGTCACATTCGGCAAATATCGATTTTCGTAGAATTTTGGTTTGTTCGCCGCTCAAGCCTTCTCGAAATGTTTTGGTACATGATGATAATGCGGCCAATTCCTCATTCTCATTGTCATTTTCCTCCCCCGATGAAGTTTCGTGATCGAAATCAGATGAATTTACAAAGGCATATGGAGGTGGATTAGCCGTCGCTTGAAGGTAGATTTGGTTTAATCCAGTCGAAATCGACGTTGAACGGCTAGGCCCAGCGCTCAGTTCGTTTAATCCTGTTGAGATGGACGAAGAACGGCGTTCCAGGTAACCGTGAACTGATTGTGAGAAAATATCTTCCGACTGGGCATTCTCTTCCGACTGGGCTCTTAGAATTCGTTCGTGTCTCGTTTATTTGGCTATAACGGTTGCATTGCCATGTCTTCATGCCCCAATCGATGCCAAATTCATAGACATAGAAGCCACCATAGTACCGTGTACGCACCAAACCATTTTTCACCAACTTGTCGACTACGGTTCTCTTCACTGAGTACAGAATCGGTGCCGATACACCATCGCTGAGAATATGTTCGATTTTTTTGTTTGCTTTCAACACTCGATTGATTTTCTCCATGTTGAAAATCATATTGAAATAATACGCTTCATTTGATTTTAACGTGACGTCGCACCCTGAGTGTTGACAACCATATTGATCACGCGGAATGGTACCGGTTTCGCACATCATACGATACAAAATATCAGCGTCTATTCTCACTGCCTTTCTCGTGTGATGACATATTGGGATGACCACCAAATTTTTGAACTTTGGCAACGCAATGACTTGCACGATGTTGTCGTGGTGCCCAACCGGTGTGGGCCATGTAAAAGCAATATTTTTCATAGTTGACTTATATTCACCACACACATATTTTGCGAAAATCTGGTCTGGCATTATTTGACCACATAACGCAAATCCGAAGGCATATTCATTATGCACAAATTATGCACAAAATAATTGCATATTCGAACATGCGAAAAAATGCTGCCCCGTCGAGTGGTGAAAATGACATTCACAGCAAATTCACCACAAAAAGTAGACTCGAAATTTGCACATTTTTCGATTTTTTCGAGACGTGCAAATGCATGCACAAATTTTTAAATGCCATGCACAAATTATTTACGTAAACAGGCCACCGGTTTCCAGACCTTGACCGGCTGGGGAGGGGGAGCCGCAATTTTCGGTTCGATCACTCGTTCGATGTCAGTGACATCATGTCACAACGATAACAATTCAAATGCGTTACCCGTTTTCCCTTTTGATTTTAGTTGCTGGCTGTTCAATCTTTCATATTTCATGACATGGTGAAATTGTGAACGGCGGTTTGTTTACAATAACAAACTTCAAAATGAACCAAAACTAATAGCGGGAATATGCACGACATTAGTTTTGCCTGCCATCTCTGGACAATTTAAAACGTAATCGTTGAAAATCAGAAGAAATGAATTTGAAAATATACTCTCACCATTCAGTTCATTCTCTTTGGATCAATACATGAACAAAAACATCCCGGGTGAACGCGATACGCTTTGATGAAAGCCTACAGTCGTTCAATGAGGCTTTCATAATTTTTATATACATTTTAAATACTGAACGCCTGGGATTTCATTGCTATTCTCACTTCTTTCGTGCATTCGTAGCATTGAAAGCCTAGCGTGAAACATACACACGTACAACTGAACGCCTAGGCTTTCAATGCTACGAATGCACGAAAGAAGTGAGAATAGCAATGAAAGCCTAGGCGTTCAGTATTTAAAATGTATATAAAAATTATGAAAGCCTCATCGAACGACTGTAGGCTTTCATCAAAGCGTATCGCGTTCACCCGGGATGAACAATTTAGATCATAGAATTTTATTGCAAACGCTAATGCTATTTTTGCTTCGGCAAGTGTGAATATCGATTGCTCCGTTGTGTGAACACAATTGATACAGAATTCTTTTCTCTTTAATTTAAAATCTAACATTTCTCTCGTTCCTAATATTCATACAGTTGGTTTACACTGCAATTTCAGTCGATTTTGACGGAAAAAAAGTCTAAAAACGTTACATCTTTTAACATTAAAAATGACTAAATTGCGTTACATGAATGTTTGGTGGGAACTGACAGACATTGGATTGATCAAATTGGTTTGTGTGAACTGTGCCGGTATTCTGGAACACAATCCGCAAAAATCGTTCGGAACTATTTTTTTCGAAGACCATATTGGAGTGAAAGAGAGAGATTCCACTATTTTTCAGCGTCCCACTGGAATTATTTCTCACACAATCCACTCTTCCTTGAGTTATCGGAATAATTCCGGTGGGACGCTGAAAAATAGTGGAATCTCTCTCTTTCACTCCAATATGGTCTTATGTACGAAAAAAATAATTCCGAACGATTTTTGCGGATTGTGTCCCAGAATACCGGCACTGGTGATATCATCTTTTGGGGAACTTAATTCTTAATCATTTATTTTTATAATGAACTGTTTGGTGCGTCCAAATCTAGTTCGAACTAATAGTTGTTTGTCACGTAACGTTTGGACTTTGGCGAAAATTGATATCTCAGAATTGAAGTGGTCACTTGTTTGCTTTCATTAACCCTTTAGACGCTATAGCTATGAAATCACAGAATTTTTTTGCATTCCTGTTTGTTAACAAATGTAGGGAATTGAACTAGCTTTCATTTGATACTTTACAGTCTACAATTGGTTGGATGAATGGAAAGTTTTTTCTGTTCATGTACTGCTATAAAAAAATGCGAAATTATAGCAGAATTACACATTTTTCCTCCTCTTATCTTGTGGGTTTGTTCATTCTTTTCAATTGTCAAATTAGGACTCGTAGGACCAAAACACATCAATTTAACTTTCTGCATCATTAGTTTTATGAAATTTAATTTTTTCAAGCTTTTATAGTGATTTGACACTTTTGACTCTTTTCCGATCTTCTCGACAAATACGCAATTTTTCAAAAATCTAAGTATGAGATTTTTCTCTATTTATCGTGGCACAAAACATATATCAAAATGATTCAAAGACAAAAAATTGTGCATTAAAAGGTTAATGATACAATTACTATATATATATATAAGTCGTGAACAATTTCACTTGAAACAGTGTTACTCATCAGCAACGGGCTGCAATAAAACCAATAAGTTGAAATGTCTACATCATCATTGAGCACCGCTTAACTTTTTGCTTGAGAATTGGTATATTTATTTATTTATTTTCAGACTTCTCTTGAAGAACATTTGTTTTTATTTTCTTCAATAACTAGGATTTATTTATTTATTTGAAATGTTGTTTTCTCGTTTAAAATTTATGCAATGACTTAAAGTTGAATTGAATTCAGTTTTCAACCAAAACTTCAATTTCCGAGTGAATTGGAATTTCTCCACCACCAAATGGAATGTACAAAGCTCCGTGGGAAATTTGCACTTTCCCTACGGTTAAACTGCCCTCATGATCAACACGACCGATGTACAATGGCTCGCCTTCGGAAGTAATACCGGCAGTGAGGGACATTGGTGGTACAGACCGTGTCATTGGGTTCGTTCTAACCCATGAGATGTTTCCGAAGCATAAAACTTCGAATGAATCCTTTAAAATCTCTTGGCCGCCGTATGCAATGTAGCAAGCATGTTTAGTGGGAAGTACCTGGGGACGATAATCGGTAATAATTATTCTTTTGGTCATTATTTATGACTGCAATACTCATACGCTGTCGAATTAAAATAAATGTTTCATTACCTTCGCTGGTACCTGGTCACCACCGTGCCAAGCGCTATATATGGGAGGATATTTGAATTTATCAATTATTATTCATCATTAATTTTCGTTTAATTGATGTTTTATTCATAGATCAACAAGTTAAATTACCGTCCGATGTAAATAGGAGAACCATTTTGATCATGACCAGCTAAAATGGCGCCTTCTGGCAATGGCAAGTGGATCGTTGATGGCACCCAAGTTGCTATTGGATATAAAAAATGTAAATTATTTCGTTCACTTATTATTAATTTGCTGAATCAAAACCTCGTATGTGGGAATGCTGTGTTCAATCCCATCGAATGGGACATAGATACCTGCATTGTACGAATTTTAATTGTGAAAATAAATCACTAAACAATAACAAACTGAACATACAATTGTGCGATGGATGAATTTTTCCGGTGGTTAATGCGCCGCTTTGGTTGCCGGCTACCACGGCTTCAGGGGGAACATGACCACTGGAACTGGCCACCCATGTAAATCCAGATCCGCATAAAATCTGCACGATTTCAAATGGATTCGTTATAATGTGTCGTTTTGTCGATATTTTGCTACTTCGGCTCCTGCATATGGAACGTAGTCGACCTGCTGACATGAATATTTTAACACGAGTTTGACTGAATTTTCAAACTTTTAGTATAATCGCGGCTATGAAATCCATACTGACGATATTTTTCGACCTGCCTCTAGTGGTCATGCACACAACACACGTTGAGCGGTCAATATATACACACACTACAGACACGCTATCATAGGATTTATACGGTTTGCGCGAAAGGCTACTTGATTTTCGGCCATGTATACGCTTATGTGATTGAAAACTTCAACTATCACCACAACCGTCGTGTCAGTAGAGCTCGTCTTATGTTTACATTTGAAATACGTGTTATTGTTGTTGTAGCTTCATCGCCGTGAGTAAAATCAAATAAAAAAACTTCTTTCGAAGTAATTCCTCGTGACGAAAGCGAACACAAAACAGCTGATATCAATTTTAAAAAATCATTACGGTGCGATTCTGAAATTAGTTGGAAGAATGCAAAAAAGCCAATCTAAATCGCTCCGAAATGATTTTTTAAAATTGATATCAGCTGTTTTGTGTTCGCTTTCGTCACGAGGAATTACTTCGAAAGAAGTTTTCTTATTTGATATCAGTTAGTTGTTTTGTACCCGGAAATTTTTTTCTCAACAAAACCAATTAACCCTAAACAAACACAAAGTGGTGTGTATAAAACCAAAGAGAATGAAACATGAAATGTTGTAGTTAAAAACCAGCATTGTCGCCTTTTTGAATAAAGCAAAATCAGCGCGTAGGTAGGAAAGCAGACTTATGAGCGTGTGGACTCGAGTTCAAGTCGCACACCGGAGGAAAAAAAATTAAAATTTTTATTTTCGTTAAATAAAATTTGGTTTTTGGACAGACAGATGAAATTACATTTTGTTTTGATGGAATTACATATCGCTTTTATACTAAGAAACTGTCACATGTTTAGGTTTTTCATGATGAATTTTTTTGATTTTGATTTTTTCATGAAAAGTACTTTTTTGTGTTTTTAGTTGATTGCGTGGTATAAAAAGACTTGGTGAGGGGTTGGTATCTGAAGGAATTTTATTCATCTGAACGCAAAAACACTTTGGTTATGATTTTGCCATTGTTGACGGCAACAAAAATGAGTTTTACTCGATTTTTGTCGATTTTTCATGTTTCTTCCAACTTCTAATGGTTATATCTCGAAAAACAGAGTTTTCCCAGATATAAGCTATATGTCAAATTTTAGCTCTAACTTGGGGCCAAATTCAGAGAATTTTTAAAAAAATCGTCGGAGCCGTTTTCGAGAAAATGGCCGATTTATGCAAGGCCAGGTGATCATTTTTTTGGGTTTCTGCCCATAGGACCATGCCGACTCAAATTTTTTCAAATTAAAATAGATGTCATTTGATAGCTGGCCTCAAGACCTTTCCAACGATACCCAAAAGTTTGAAATCGGTTGACTGGGTTAGGCACAGTGATCATTGGAAAGAAGGCCATATTTTGAATTTTCAAAGGCCGGCCAAGGCCAAGATGGCGGCCAAATCAAAAAATGGCGGAACAAAAAAGTCTTAGTTTTTATTATACTTCAATGCCTGAAAGTTTTAAAAAGATCGGGCAAAAACTACGGACAGACGGACGGACAGAAAAAATATTATCTTAAAATAATTGGTGGAGACGCCAAAGAAATTTTTTAAATCGTCATAACTCATGAACGGATGGTCCAATTTCGACGTTCTTAGGCTCGTTGGAAAGGTCTCGACGAGTAGACTCAGAAAAAACATGTTTCAAGATGAACCGGCCGCGTTCAACACCCGGTAAATGGGAAAAACTGATAATTGCACACAATTTTCAAGTGGCTATTTCTATGGAGGCGGTTGGACGATTCCCAAATTTGAATGCATTTTCTGGGCCTATGAGCCAGGGGCTTTCTAGCGATACTTCATTCATACCAGATGGCCTCTTAGGAAAAAAGTTCGAAATTGCGTGTATATATAGGCCTATGATAATTGATTTTTTCTACTGATTGTCACAATTTTTCATTTTTGATTTTTTTTATCTCGTTAAACGTAACATATCTGGTTGATTAATTGCAAATTTTCATGTAAATGAAATGCTATAGATTCGCTTAGGTAAACGGTTAACAATTAATCACAATTTTTATCGGTAAAATCCAATACGGTCAGATATATTCTAAATTGGTCAGACAAATGTCTAAAATTGTCAGACATTTATTCTAATTTTGTCAGATATACATTTTCCAATTTTGGGAGATAAATCAGCCAAACAAACGCGATAGATGGTCAGCTACGGCTGACGCTCGTTATCCAGATAATTTGCGTGCGGTGAGCGCATATAGAACGCTCCGCTGACATTCCGTTTTTGTGACGAGCGATCCATCCAAATTCATGATAGAATCCATGAATTTGTTTGGATACCACGTCACAAAGTCAGAAAAATTATGGATTCTATCATGAATTTGGATGGATCGCACGTCACAAAAACGGAATGTCTGTGCCGGTATTCTGGAACACAATCCGCAAAAATTATGCGGAATTATTCTGAGCGATCAATTGTATTTTGGAAGGTGGTATCCAAACGTTATATGAACGCGTGAGAATAAAAGCCTGACGCTAGCAGGTTTTTCGCAAAAGCGGGATAACAATCAGTTGCACGCAAAAGAGACATTTCAAAAGGTTACACGCAAACGGAACATTTTATTTTGTCGCATTTTGAATTTTAAAGCCGTGATTACAACAACAATATACTTCTCTCTTGCGTGCAACCTTTTGAAATGTCTCTTTTGCGTGCAACTGATTTTTACCCCGCTTTTGCGAAAAACCTGGTAGCCTCAGTCTTTTATTCTCACGCGTTCATACAGTCATGGAAATTTAATTAGGACCGGCATTGAAATTTCAGTTTTTTCCCATTAATTCTGTTATTTTACAAAAAAAAATATTCATGAAATGATGTTTATGAGAATATTTGAAGTTTTTATAAATGGACTAGACTATCAATTTCATTATTTTCGGTAATGGATATCATTTATTGATGAAATTGCCCAAAAACTGCGGGAAAAATAATTAAGACCTTCCATACAAAAAATGACAAAATTTTTCGAAAAATCGGAAAATTTATCATTTGTTTGACAAAATTCACTCCACCGATGGTCGTATTTAATTGAAATACATTTTTTCCACATCACCATTTAATAGATTTCAAATTTCTTAAGAAATTCGAAAAGTTACAGACCAAACTATGATTCTTCCACGATTTTTCATACAACAAATGCTATAAAGTTTAGTTTGGTCTGTAACTTTTCGAATTTGTTAAGAAATTTGAAATCTATTAAATGGTAATGTGGAAAAAATGTATTTCAATTAAATACGACCATCGGTGGAGTGAAATTTGTCAAACAAATGATAAATTTTCCGATTTTTCGAAAAAATTTGTCATTTTTTGTATGGAAGGTCTCAATTATTTTTCCCGCAGTTTTTGGGCAATTTCATCAATAAATGATATCCATTACCGAAAATAATGAAATTGATAGTCTAGTCCATTTATAAAAACTTCAAATATTCTCATAAACATCATTTCATGAATATTTTTGTTCAATGCCGGTCCTAATTAAATTTCCATGACTGTATATGGATTTGTCTCTTTTTCATTGATTGAACATTTGGATACCACCTTTCAAAGTACAATTGATCGCTCGGCGGCAGCGGAGCGTTCTATATGCGTTCACCGCACGCAAATTATCTGGATAACGAGCGTCAGCCGTAGCTAACCATCTATCTCGTTTGGTTGGCTGAGATTAATGCCCAAATTGGAAGACAAAATTCTAAAATAATCAAACGAAAATGTCTACACTTTATGTCCATAAATGGCAGACATTTTTCCAAACTAGGCGGAAATATTTCCAATAAAGTCAGATCAAGTTGGTCGAAAATTGTCATATTTTTTCCGATTTGGGCAGAAAATATTCTAAACCAGACGGATGTTTGTCTAATTTGAGAAGAAATGAGTCAAATAAAGTCAGAATAAATGTTCTAAAATAGGCATACTAAATTCTATTTTCGACAGATATTTTTCCTATATCAGTCAGATAAATACTCATCGAAAAGAGCATGAACAATGACGATAAGCTGGGAATGGTTGATTTTCATGCCATTTCATTGCAAACTCGAAGATCTTAATGTGTTCGTGGATATCTCATCACTTTAACGAGCGAATTTTCATTGTTGGTTTTTTGTTGGAAAAAAATAGTTTTGTGAGAAACAGAGTTGTAAAAGTACAATTACAACATTTGTAAGGTTTCGTAGAAGCCGTTGATAAAACGATCAAAAAAACATACAAAAAATATGCGGATTTTGATGAAAATTGACACAGACATATTTTAGGAGATAAATTTTAATATCCACCAAGTTTCAAGTCGATGCGACCTTCCAGAGCTGAG